GTGTGTGTGTGTGTGTTGACGGGGAGTGGGGGACGTAAGAGATAGAGAAAGAAAGGATTTCATTAATTTTGTGTTGTTTCTCAGAGAAAAAAATAGACTCAACGTATCCTTGTAGAAAGGTGAAAACTTTTGCTTTGTTCCTCAAAGAGATAAGGAATCAACTTATTATTGTAAAATTGTTAAAACAATATGTGCTTCGTTTCTCAAATAGAGTTATTTTCAGAAAAGCGAAGCTCATCGAGACAATAATGCTCATTTTGTGAAGGGAAAAAAAGTTAGACAGACTGACAGAAAAACAGAGGGAAAGTAAAGAAGAAGGACCTCCCAGTGGCGACCTCCAACCATCTGTACCGAATAGAGGAGTGTGCCATCCTACAAACTAGTCAAAATGATTTCATTTTGTTTCGTTTCTCAACGAGATGCGGGGTTCGACTTAGAGAAATTTGAAAACGTTTTGTTTCCTCCCTTGTTCAAGTAGAGGGACTCAACTAATAGGAATATGTAAAGAGATCAATGACTCAATTTATAGAAATATGTCAAGAGATAAGTGCCTCAACTTATAGAAATATGACCTAAAGAGATGAGAGACTCTACTTATAGAAATATGTAAAGAGATGAGTTACGTAACTTATAAAAATATGTAAAGAAATAAGTGCCTCGATCTATAGAAACATGAGAAGAGATGAAAGGTGTAACTTACAGAAACATGAAAAGAGATAAGGGACTCAACTTATAGAAAAGTGTAAAGAAATGAGTGCCTCAACGTATAGAAATATGTAAAGAGATGAGTGGCGTAACTTATAGAAACATTAAAAGAGATGAAAAGCGTAACTTATAGAAACTTGAAAAGAGATGATGGACTCATCTCATAGAAATATAAAAAGAGAAGAGGAACGCTACCACAGCCGTGTACTTATTATCCTAGATTGTGCATTCTGCCATTATTCATGTTGACTATTGAACGAAACATTAGATTTGAATCAATTTGGAGCGAATTTTAAGGCCAGCATTGGAAAGGTGCTGTGCATTTTCGACCATAATAAGACAATTGTTTTGACTTTTATTTAGGGGCAATGGTGTGCACGCTTCTCCAGTGAGTTTTTTAATGGAGAACAAAGAGTGCGACCATGCTATTTCACAGTCTTGGATATTATGTTATAATAATACTCAACTCATAGAATACTAGCTGCTCGTGTGCCTTTAGCAAGATAACCTATAGATTAGGGCTTGGAACATCAGATATTTTTTGACCGCCTCAATAGTCGCGACTAATTGACGACAGTCTCGTTGTCACTTCTTTGGAATATAATATCCACATTTTTAAAGATAGAAATGAATAGACTCCACTTCATTTATCCTTTTTAGCAATTTGTTTTGCAATAGCGTACTGGTACACAAATACATTAATACATAAGTGCTTGAATAATACACAATATCATTAACATAGACAATCCACATAATATAAGAAATAGAAGCAGTGGCGTCGGTAGTTTAGTGGTTAGGCTACCGGACTCGTAAACATGAGATTGCGGGTTCGGGCCTCAGCTCTGTCCGACGTTGTGCCCTTGGGAAAGGCACTTTACACGAATTTTCCATTTCGCTCAGTAACCCTCTTCGGAGATGGATGTTAAACTCGAAAGTCTCGCCTCTTAAATAGCCTAATAGCGTTGATAGGGGCGGTAAACCTATTCAGTTTCATCATGTTTTCGTAACTGGACAGCCCAGTGTCATATGTTGCTTAAGGACAAACCTCATTGACCACCCCCACCCCATAAACGCTGTATCACCGACACAGACTTGAGTTTTTCGGTATAGCTTTGAACCAAAACTAAAGAGTGAACACTCACATTTTCTTTATTTTTTAGAGAGAAATTTTTAAAGCCATGATTAAATTCTGGAGTATTTCAGAACCACACAAATTGATCGAAACCTACAATTCTATAAATTTTAACGCTCAAATCCTGAAACTGTAAACCCATCATTCTTTTAGGAATACGTAATGCTTCCTTTGTTTAAATTTTGATGGGGGGGGGGGGGCTCTCGTGGCCAAGAGGTTATGGTGTTCACCTCTCATTCAATAGGTCCCGGGTTCGAATCCAGATAGCGAGGGAAATTTTTCTTCTCTAAAAATGTTTTTTTTCCACCTCCTTTCCTGCTCTCTAGCAAAGTTCGGTTGTCTGCTTTCGCCTCCACCTTCTGCCCCACCCCTTCACCTCCTTTGCCACCTCCTCTGGGCTCCTGACTCTTTCTGCAGCCTTTCTACTGTTACTCCTTGGCTCCTTCTGAAAGATAGTAGTAAGATCTTCTAATAGGAAAGATCTGCACCTAGCCTTCTCGGACAAGGGCGAAAAATCTCGGAGGTCGTGTGTGCAAGTTGGGCGCGTTAAAGATCCCTTGGTGGTCCAAAATCGATAAGAGTAGATTTCGGCCGCACCCGGGCGAAGTTCAAAATTTCCTACCAACTGAAAAAGTGTAATGTGTCCCGCACGCTCTTATGACCTTATGCAGTTGCGAACGCCAGTAAAACACTTAAATCTACACAACAACAAAAATTCTCATTGTTATGCTAGTCTACACTCACCTATCCAATATCCAACCAGCTGTTAACTGGCACGACCAGCAGGCAAACCCTTTCATGGATCTTAGAGAGGAGGGAGGAGAAGCTATGGCATTGTGCCTCCTGCAATGATGCCTATTCTCCAACCAAGTAAGTAAGTAAGTAAGTAAGTCTACACTCACCGGCCACGGGTTCCCCTTTGATCGCCGACTGGGAGCCAAAATCCAGGAACTGAAACCAGAAGTCAACAGGACTCGTTGCTGTGACAACTATAGCCTGCGGCTGCTTGCCGTCCATGTGGATCTTCCACATACCTGAGAGAGATAGAAAAGGAAATCAATGTAAGTGTGTTTGTTTGTGGGAATGTGTGTGTATGTGTGCGTGTGTGTATGTGTGTATGTGTGTATGTGTGTGTGTGTGCGCGCGCGCGCGTGTGTGTGTGT